TCCCATCAATCCCGATGCTGAGCTAATTTCCGGGCCGTCCGTAATCAAGGCCCACATGCCCCACATGTTCGAGAAATTGTCAATGGAGCCGCCAAGAAAGTGATTCAAGGCACCCCCAAACCCCCTAGCCTAGGCAGTGTATTTAATTATAAGGTTTTCTAGTTGTAATCCAAAGAAGATGGCAGATGGCATCCCTCTATTATTTATCATTTATTTATAATTTAATGTATTTATTAAAGTATTAAATGTGCATTGAAAGTGCATGCGAAATTAATTTATTGCCAACAAATTGAATGAACTAATAAATAAAACACAAACACAAAACCAAACATTAGAAGGAAATGCATTTGATGAATGGCGGGTGAAAGGTAAGAGAAGCAGGTGGAATGCTTATTTTGTATGAACCTTTTTAACTTCGATCTAAACACCTTTTGACGAATTTACTGTACTGGCATGTATCGTCCAAGCCACCCTGTTTCTCCAGTACTTAGTTTGTCCTACAGCAAGTAGGACAAGCAAATCCGGGATTTATAAAAAGTATAAAAACTGACTCCATGTATGTCTTTTCTGTTCTTTGTCTTTGTCTTATTCCTCTGCTCGTTCTGAATTCTTTTCTGTGAATAGTCTGTGTTACCATCAATATCTTACCCGTGGTGGTAGAAATCTAATTTTTGTTTCATCAAATCGTCTACTAAACGTAAATCCAATGCTTAATCTGTCGCTGGAACCGTGTTTTGTTGCTGGAGTTTAAAATGAATCCCTACATCATTCCGCTTCATCTAGAATCTTTCAGAAATCGGAACCACAGATATAAAATATACTACACTTTCAGCATCGTGGCCCATTTTAGTTTTTACTTAAACTTTAAATTTTAAACACCCAAACGTGGAACCTGATATGTTGCCATAATTGAATGGATTTTAACTGAATATGTAATTGAAACGCTGATACTGCATTATTTGCCTCATTAGTTGCCTTGCTGCATACGCTATTAAAAAACCAAAAAAAAAAGAAGCAAGCCTAGTTAATTATTTCTTTTTACGGCACAGTGGGGTAATTAATTGTGGTCAACTTATGGTGAAGTTAATTCTCTGTTATGCCTTTTGTCAAATAATCCATTTGCCATGGTAGCGTACGCTATTAATTGAAGAATTATTGTGGATGAATTTGCCAGTTGATTTAATGGCGAATTGAAGGTTGAATTTCAAAGAGATTTCCTAAGAACTTCCTTAAATACTAATTGCCCAAAATGTCTTTACAGGAGCTTCTCTGACTGCCTGAGAAAAACCTTTTAGAGATATATTTGCATCGATTTGTCGTCAATTGTTTACTCCATTATCGACACATGTCGACGACACTAACCTTTTTTGCTGCCTTGTCCATATTAACTGGTCAAAATAATTTTTGATTGCCATTACAAACTTTTTTTTACCAAAATGCATTGCAATATCCATTGTCTATGAATAAGATATTAAATGTTTTTAAATGTAAGAATTGTCTAAAGCAACAATTGGAAAATATGTTTTTAACATGGGCCGTTGCAGCGTTTATTTTCTATTTGTTAAAGTACAGCAAAAGTGCTCTAAGATAGAAATTCATTAAATTTGCTTTTACAAATTCCGAGGCAAATTTGGTTGGGATTTATTATTATTTGTATTATTATTTACACAAAATAAAGGCATATTTATGCCTCTGATATTAACAAAAAGCTTAGCTGTCAAAGAGGTTTTCTAGAAATAAGAAATTTAAAATAAATGTATTGCTTTATTCTAAATTATTCTTGATTTCAATTGATTCTAAAATAAGCGACTTGGCACAGATATCAGTAGTGGTTTTATCTAGCGATGCTTTTAGAGCATTGAGTTCTTAGAGCCACTACAGGAAGAGCCAAGGAAGAGTCTCTCCATTAGTCCACGACTAATTTTGCTTCAGTTTTGAATCAGATCCTCTCACAGCTCCAGTATCGATCATTAAGCTTTCACTTTGTAGTCCACTTTAAGCGAATATCCACTGTATTATAATACGCAATTTAAAGGCATTTACTTGGACATTGTGTGGGAATATTTACGCTTCAATTTAATTTTTTTTCGCAGTCCGCCGATACGAATTAGCTCTCTGCCCCGCTCTCTTTCTCTCTCCCGCTCTGCAGACACTCTCTCATACATATGTGTTTGTTGTTTGTGCATTGAAAGCCCGTTGAATGCACAAGTGGCCGACATATTTGTGCATTACAACCATAGTTGCCACCATCAACAAGCCACCATCATTGCCGGGTTGGGGGTGTTGACTCTGCTGCTGCTGCGGTGTGTGTGTGTGTATAAAGCATAACAGTAATTATGGCTACCGTGGTGCTGTGCGTCATTCCTCTTGTTTTTGGCTCCTCCACTCCCACCTGTGTCTCTGCTCATCGGTTTATTTCCGGGCAGCCTTTTTTTTTATACCCGGTATTCGAAGAGTAAATAGGGTATATTGTATTTGTGGGAAATAACGGTTGTATGTAACGCACAGAAGGAATCGTTTCCGACCCCATAAAGTATATATATTCTTGATCAGTATCAATAGCCGAGTCGACAGAGCCATGTCTGTCTGTCCGTCTGTCCGTCTTGTTTGTCGGCTAGTTCTCAGAGACTATAAGAGCTAGAGCCACTAAATTTTGCATCCAGGCTGCTATATGCTCACACTGAAACCAGTGTATTTAAAAAATGAGCCACGTCCCTTTCCGCCCCCGCAAAAGGGCGAAAACCTCCTAAATCTACAATTTTGAAGATAAAAGAAAACTAAAAACGCCATTCCGTAGGAAATGGCCATATCTATCAGATCACCAAATTGGGATCCGATTGGATCATTATTATAGCCACAATGGGGAAATAAATTTCCAGTGGCTAAACCCATCCTGTCCCGCAGCTTTTGTTGTTCTTTTTACATTCTCTCATTCACACTCTGCTTCTGCTTCACTCGGCCCCTGCCTCTGCCCTCCCCCTGCCGATTCCTCTTCCTACTTTTAAACCACCCCGTCCCGCAGCTTTTATTTGTTTTTTTTTTTGTGCGGACGGTGCCTCTGCCTCTGCCTCGAGTCTGCTGTGTGGGTCTAGGGAAGGGCGGCGAGCTAACGGAGCGTGTTGGTGTGAGAAGTGTTGTAGATGTAGATGACAGATGGAGAAAAAATTTAAAATTTGACAAAACACCGCTAAGGTGCAGATGTAGTACTGAGTGCCGGGTATAAAAGTTGTGACGCGTAAAAAGCGTCTCACACGTCCCTTCTCGTTGTATTTGCTTTTGGAGCTGGCAAGGGATTGCCAACTTTACAATTTGAATTTACAAAAGCGAAACACAATGCCAGTCACTGATATATAGTATGTACATACAAATGTAGATATATCCTTGTACCCGTTGCCCGCATGTCTATCTTCATTCGTTCGGTTAACAAATTTGAGAGCTGCACATAAAATGCAATCGCATCCTCAGACAGACTGTATTCAGGGGTTTTTTTTGTTCAAACCACTTAAGCCGATGCTTGGTCAAACTTTAGTGCACTTTCAATTATTTATACGGAGTACAAATACATGGTAAATATATGTTGATTTATGGCATGGTTATCAGATGAATGAATTATTGAATGAATGAATGAGTGAAGCCCTAAAGGCAACGGTAGCTGCAGTTGTTTCAGTGGTGTGCAATAGTCCTTAATAGTACCATATGTAAGATTTGCTGGTAAGCCATAGTGAGCAACAGATTCTGCAGACTTAACAGATAATAAAAATAAATAACGAAACAAATAACAGAGCGAGAGACTAGTAACGGCGAGATAGATGGATCATTATCAATTTTAATGAAAATACAAAACACCTACACATGTACATATGGGTGTTATGTTGTACATAAAATATAAAGACACAAGAACTATTTTTTTTCGACTTTTCCTATGTTTTTAAAGTAGAATTTTTGATAGAAGTACCTAAAAAAAATGATCAATTTGGAATTTGAAAGCTTAATATTTTCCAGACGTTGAGTAGTGGAATCTCTTGAGAAACGAGCTCTTTGTAATCCCGTTGCCACACACTAACATGTGGCATCTAAAGTGTCTCTTTCCCCGTTAGGAACTGCTTCTAACTATGTCAGCACTATCTTTTCCCTAAATAATTCCTGGTTTCTGGGCTCTTTTCCCGCATTAATCTTGAGAAACTCTTTGTACTCACAAAGCTGTGGCTGGTTTTGACAGAGTACAACCCGGCCTGATGCGATTTGCTCAGCAACAGCTACGCATCACAAATTTCAAGCAAAACTAACCTAATTTACCCTGGCAACCCTGGACGGTGCCCACGACTTTGAGCTCCTTTTGGTTCTTGCTCTGGTTCTGGGCTCTGGTTCTGGTTCGTTGCCTCGGCGAGGTTTCCCTGGCCGCAACCGCAGACCCAGCCCTGACGAGGCGATAAGGTGGAAACGGGAACGTGTTGTAGTCCGCAGAAGCTGCCCCTAATGATGCCACATGTCCAGTGGCAAGGTGTACCCCCCCTCCATTTGCAGCTATAACTAAATACATAGTTTAATTCGTGGCTCGACGCTTTGTTCACGGCTGTTGCTTCTGATTCTGCTCATGTTCATGTTTTTAATTCCGTTACGACTTTGTTGCCAAAAGGATAAGGGAAGTCGTTGGTGCCCCTCTGCACGGATTTGAAGCAGCGTCGAGAGCAGAGATTAGCGCTGGGGTTTTTGTGCGGTTTTGTCAGTTTGTTTTCGAGTCTGGAACACAGCGCAGAAGTTAATTAAGTTTGGGTTCTTTTTGGGTTCGTGTTCTAGTTATGGTTCTGTTTATGGTCTGAATATTTTCACAAAATGAACTGGGGTTTTTTCCATCTTTCTTGTGAATCGTAAATATTGCTATATTTTCGTCCTTTAGTGGGGACCGAAGGAGGCAGGACGGATATCACAGCAATCTCGATGCCAACTTTAGTTGCTGTAGCTTTTATATTTTTCTATGTTTATATTCACATATTTTTGTTGGCTAATATTTAATTTGTATGCGTTGCCTTCTTCTTCTTTTTAAAGTGTCCCTTATCTACGTGTTTTTTAACAATATCCAAGTGATTGACGAGCTGCTCAAGAATATCCTCCAACCGCACTACACGATTTTTTAGCCTGAAAAGGATGAGAAAAGGATTAGCTTAAGCCCAACCAGAATCTCCGATTACACACCGAAATAGCTCCTTTTCTTCTATGTCTGGTTGAGCATCTTCAAAGTGTTTTGAACTAGCAGAAGAAAGAGGTTACTTATTACTATTAAATTAATATAAATTAATTAAATTTACCCATGGGTCGGCGGTCGCTTTTGATCCTCCTCTTCTGCGGCCAAGGCAGCCTCAATTTCGCGACGCTGGGCACGACGCCTCAGACAACAGTAGAAGATCCAGTTAAAGGCCAAACTCAATTTCCTATAAACATACGAACCCAAATGACTGCGACCCGTGGTAATTTCACCTTTTACCGAGTTGTAGGTCTCCATTATGATGGCCAGAAACATGTTCTAAGGGTAGATAAACATGAACGGAAGAGTCTTCAAATGCTGTGCCAAAATCTCACCAACAAAATGAAGAACATCAACAGAATGTATGTGAGAAAGTAGATGGGTCCCAGCACACGATTTGCCTGCTCAATGAGCTTGTACTGAAAGTCACCGAGGATCATGCGCACCATGGTCAAAATGGAGGTGGTAAAGGTATCAAAATCGGGATGTTTAGTGCCAAAAAGAAGGAGACCCAACTGCGCATAGGCCAGAAAAACAATACCAAACATGAGACTAAAGCCTGCCAGGTCTTTGTAGCACTAAAAAAGGGGAAAGGAATCGATGAATGAATGAGAAATGAAATAAATATATGTAAGCTATGTAAATGGTAAATAAATGTTAAATAAATGCAAAACAAATGTAAAATAATTGGAAAATAAAGGCAAAATAATTGGAAAATAAATGCAGCAATAAATACCCTTCTCAGCGTTGTTGTAAACTGCACGAGAGTCTTGTTAAAGCTAATAAACTTGAAGATCTTGATCCACACCAGAAAGGCCAACAAGGCCATCATGTCCACATAAATGTTGTTCCAAAAGCAAAGGATGTCAATGCTGAGAAAACCCTCATTTATGCGATTACCGGCGGTCAAAGCTTGCACATGAAATGTGTGCCAAATGTTGTAGCCAAAGGCTAGATAGCAAAACTGTCAGCAAAGGAACGGATAGATCATTCAAATATAGATGGAAATTCTGTAAAAATAAGTACCAACAAGACAATGCCATCGAGTACGTTCAGCAATGATCTGTAGTAGATTTTGAAGCCCGTTTTGCGCAATTCCTTCGTCTCAAAGATGGTGTAGTAGACGACCATTACATACCAGAAGATAGAGCAAACCATTTTGAAGAGACTTTGCTCCGTGAAGAAGGAATACTCACGAACAGTGCACAGATGGGTTTGAGGTATAATACAGCCCGTTGGGGGTATTTCAGCGATAAATCTAAGGGAGAAAGCGGATCCTCAAAGCAGCTAAACTTTGGCTTGTAGGCTCTACGCACTTGGCACTCTGAAATATATCCGTATTCTCATTATACATATTAAACTCGATCACACACAGCCGCGCACCGCGATCCACCCAATTGAGGTTCTTTAGATCCTTGATCTTCTTCATATTCGCTTCCTTTTCGTAGGTCAATTCCGCGGTGTAGCCACCAGAGCGGTACAAATTGAGCAGCGTCCAAATGGGTGTGGCATCCAATTGGCTCATTGTCATGTAGGCGGTGCTCTTGTGTGTGCCGCCCGTCTCCTCCGTGGACTTGGAGTACGGTGCATAACACGTGTTGAAGTAGCGTATAAAGGCGTCATTCACGTAGCAGCTACCGCGGCGTACGCGTATCTGACGGATGCGTGGTGGACCGAGCATGAGATTCTCGTGCAGGAAGACGCGACCCTTGAGATGGGTCACCCACTTGGAGGTGTCATTGCCGAGGCCCATAGCATCGAAACTGCCAGCAGCACCGCCGGTACCACCGCCTCCACCGCCACCGCCACCGCCACCTTTCTTTGTGTCCACTTCTGCATCGGAATTATCCTGATCGGATTCCCCATCGCTGGGTTCGCCAGCGATTGCTCGAGCACTTCTGCCACCTGTCTCCTGATCATCATCCTCTTCATCATCATTCTCCACATAACCATCATCCTCCATGTATAAACTATCTTCGATGAGTCGAAGTTCCTTGGGTCGGTACTCATCGTTTTGGCCATCATCAATTCTTCGAATCCTACGACCTCCCCATGCCTCCTGCCCCTCCTCTTCGTCGTTCTCCTCATAACCAACTTCCTCCAAGTACACACGGTCTTCTGCCACGCGAAATCTCTGCGGTTCCTCGTCCTCGTCCGCCGGCGGGCTCTCATCGGCTTCCGCAGTTGTGTTTGTATCTTCTTCACCATCGTAATCAATTGTTGTGTTGGGCTTTGCCCCCGTACCATCACCCAGATATATTGTCGTGCCTCCATGCAGGGTAACCAAAAAGTTAAACTCCAAATAGTCCCACCAATCCGAGACTGTGAGTATTTTCTCAAAGGAAATGGTAACCGTGGGCTCCACAACCATTTCGCGTACGCTAAAAAGTTGCTTTATTGTGGTGTTCAGGTAGTACATGTACGGTTGACGCACCGATAGAGCCACTGGAAGGAGAAATGAAAGGGAAAAATTAAGTGTTAGGATTACCTCTATGTCCTTGAGGTAGGGGACTGCTAACACTGGTAATCATAAAAAACTACTAATGAGGTCCCGTTAACTGGCTGTTACTGCTTGACACCCTGTGGCCGGTCGCTATTACAGCTAACTGTGAGCGCTCTCTGCCAGCTCACTGTAAGCGCTGTCTGACAGCACGCGCTTGCTCTCTCGATCCACAGTGTAGATTCCACACGGCTCTCCAGCTAGATTAAGCAATTCCCCACCCCGCGTCAACAGCTTCGCCTCTTCCCCACTCACCAATTGATGTTAGCACTAGAAAAATAAGAAACACTGCAAACTCCATGAGTGCATCGCGCACCTCCTCATCGCTGGAATAGTAAATTCGCGACTGCTTCACCCTCGTGGTCTCGGTTTGGTGGAACTTGCGTCTGCCGGTGGTGCCCCTCGGTGTTGGTGGCTTTTCTGGGGTCGAATCTTTCTTGCGTCCGAATATCACACGTTTTTCTACTGTCGGTTTTTCCTGGGTGGCCGCTATGCGGGGCGACGGCTCCAGGCGGTCTGCCTGCAATGAGGTTCGAGGTAGCGGCGTTGCTTGAACTGGCTCTGCAACGGGCACACGTTTGGCCAACTCAGCACGAGACGGAGCCTGTTCCCGCCTGGTGGCTGCTCCCTCGCCGGCCATGTAGCTTCTTGGGGAACGCGGCATAGTCGGCGGCGGGATACCACGTGTTCGAGACAGTGCTGGCATGCCACGTAGCTGAGCCACTGGCGATATGCCACGTGGCGCAGACAGTGGTGGATTGCCACGAGGCTGAGTCGGTGGTTGACTGCCACGTGGTTGGCTCGGCGGTGGGCTGCCACGTAGCTGTGTCACTTGCGAGATGCCACGAGGGTGAGTCGGCGGTGGACTGCCACTGCCATGGGGCTGAGTCAGCGGCGGACTGCTACTGGTACGGGGTTGAGCCGTCTGTGGGTCGCCACGGGGACTGCCATGAGGTTGAGTCGGCGATGGGTTGCCACGGGGAGGTCTTGGCGGTGGGCTTGGCCGCTGACCCTGGGATCCTCCTTGTTTCTGACCCTCTTTATCCATTTTGAATGAAAACGTTTCTTATAACTTTTTTGTTTTGCTGTAGAATTTGTGCCTTCAAGATGGCTGAGCACTGAAAACTGAGACTTGGCAAAGACCCCAATGACAGTCATGAATCTTGAAGCTTAAATAATGCCTACTCTGACCTGGCACATGCCACAAAACGAGATACAGAATCCAAGGTGGTGCCCAGACAGCTGCTGCTGCTGCTGCACATAGCAAACTCCATTCATATGCATATTTCATGCGTTAACGCCAGCATTTGATTTGCAACACGAACAGTGTGACGGGGGGAACACGATGTGAATGAAAAGAAGAAGCCATCACAGGCTGCTCTTGATTTATGGTCCCCCCACTGTTGATCTCCTTTTCCCACCTGTGCGCCAGTTGAGATGTCAGCAGAAATCAAGCGTCCAAAACATGAACTAGAAAGTCCCATTGAAAAAGCTAAAGACGCTCTTAAATCCTCTCAGCAATGGTGCGCTCTTAACTTTTCGTCCACGCTTAAGTGCATAGCCGCAGGTAGCAAGAGGGGATCTCCATTTCGCACTGCGCATCTCCCTCTGTCCTTTTAGCACATTAGCCAAAGCAATTACTCAATTACACCCCCAATGCAGAGGCAAAACCTCTCAGAGAATCTCACAGTTTACTGTGTTTGGAATGACTGCAGCCGGGGGAGAGAGTGCCAAGTAAACTTTTAGCTATTGGCGCAGCCGCAGAGACAGAGTGCGTGCTAGAACGCAAGACGTAAGAGGTGCCAATCCGCTCTTAGATGCTCTTCAAGCGATGCGCTCATAACATTTCGACCCAGCTGCAGGTCGTTGCACTGAACTTTTTTTCATTGCAGAAAAAAGCCAAAACTCTTCAAATGAATTCTCGTTTGCTTGCTAATGATCTCGTCCACGCACCTCGCTTCTACCTGATCCCTTATAGAGCATAGCCAAAAGCACTCACACACACCCACACAGACATTGCAGAGGCAGAGCCGCTTTCATATGTATGTATCTTCTCACCGACTAGACTTCGTTGACCCTTAAATGGCTTTAGTTGGAACGAAGTAAAAGAATTAAAATAAAAGTAAGCTCCCTGCGCAGATGCACGTTAGTTCGTGTCGTCGAAGAAAAAGGCCAGAAAAATTGTGGAAAATGCTCAAAAATGTATTTTAACACTCGTGTGATAAGTGCAGAAAGTTGTAAAAAGGCGGAGGATATTTCAGAATGTGTGAAAAAATAATAGTATCACTCAGTGTTAAGTGAAAGTGAGGATGGTCATTATGATTTCAAGGGATGCCAGGCGGTTACTGCAGAAGTGCGGAAGTGTTAACTTGAGTGAAATGTAAAAACAGTTTAATGTCCTAAATAATTGAAAAATAAATAAAATAATAAACGGCTAGCTCGCCGATAAGTGAGTGCTCTCATACAGTGAGAGCGAGTGCAAGGTTGTCTTTAGGACGGCGAGGGGTGCCTGGCGGCAAGCAGGGAAAGTTTTCGGCGGAAGTGCACGAAATTTAAAGAGTTTAAAAAGAAAAAATATAGAGACCGGAAAGCGGCACAATGCGGCTGCCCAGAAGGCAAGAAAAGCCAAATTGAATTGTGTCTAAACTTTAGTCTGCATATAACATTATATACATACATACAAAATGTCTTGGTCATTTGAGCGCAAATGGAATTATTTAATTATAATTTAATATATCCTTAGAAGTTGCACATTATTATTCCCATTTTTCTCATGATGTATTTTCACAGTGCTCTAAATCTATCAAATTTCAACTAAATGGGGGTATACATCATAAGCTATACCTTTGGTACACAATAGAAAGGAAAAATTTCCCCAATAGCACAAGAATATCTTTATACACACATAAATACATATTATCTACTTTATTTCATTTGTTAATTTTTTCCGAATTCATGTGTAATAACACCTCTCGCCATAAACTATTCCAGCGGCTCCAAGCCTGGATATTTCAAGCGGCATTTCACTAAGCTTTAATTTTATTTTATTCATCTTAAAATTCCTTGAATTGCATCTGAAAGTCATGTATATACATACATAGAAAAACAATTCCCAAAAAATTGTCTTTTAATATTTTATTATTTATTTGTAAATCTTTAAAACCTCTAGATTTGGTCTGTTTTTTCCATTTTGTTTGACCTCTCGATAATCTTGAAAATGTTTGAATCCTCATACATATCTATATGTATAATTTGTATTATGTTTATATATATATTTAAATTAAAATAAAATGTTGCTCTTCAACCCTCTATGCAAATTTAAGTACAAATTGAACAACAAATTGTGTGTGTTTTGTATTTGAAATCAATTGATGCGAGATTAATTAAAATAGAATATAGTTTAAAACTATTAATGACTATAAAATGATGTCTGAAGTAAGGATGAAATACTTATAAGCAATCCCCCGATTTGGATCTATCTTTTGTGACGATTTTTTAGGATATCAACTAAATGTGACTTTAGTTACAGCTATTAGTTAATTGATGATTTCATTTTTTTTCACAGAATTTTCTACCAGTTATTTTAGCGTTTTTTTGTGTTATTAAGACTTTCATTCATGTAAAAGTTGCTTCCAACGAACGGAATTTCGAATGTTTTGTGGGTTTTTGTTTGTGCCCGACTACAATTTACATTTATATTTATTTATTTATTTTGTTTCTTTCTTATTACTTAGGTAATTTAAGTTTAATTTGCTAAGTTGTTTCTCTTGATTGGTGCGAAAATATGATATTCCTTTTAGATGTTCTCTTATTGCTTAACTATTTGGCTTTGAAAAATACTTTGGCGCCACACAACGGAGCTTCATACAATTTCTGAGGGGGGATTTGCTTATTTTTTTACTCGTATTTTTTTGATTTGTTTGCCAACCACATTGAATAGTTTTGGTTTGGTAGTGTATGACGATGCTTGAGAGGTTTTTTTCAGCAAATGTGATTACAACAAGAATGCAACTTTTGGGCTACTTCTTTGGTTGGATTTCTGGTTTGCCATTCCATTCCGTCCCATTCATCTTTTTTTATTTGTGCACTCTATTTTATCTTTCTATTTATCTTTAGCTTTAGCTGTGTGTGTGTGTGTGTTTGTGTGTGTTCACTTATCAGATACATTTTTGTAATTGGTCCTTTGGTTTCAGAACTTTGCTTAAAAGGCACAATTGTTTAAGCTATATAGTTTCCATCCATCCTCTGTCTGCAAGGGGGTTTGGGGTGTGTGTGTGTGTGTCTAGTACGGCTTGGCCGCATCCTTGGAACGTTTCAGTTGGACCTTCAAACGCTTGGTCCCTATCTGGAAACCATGCATCGCCTGTATGGCCGCATTGGCCGAATGTGGATTATCATACGAAACGAAGCCAAAGCACTTGGATAGATTCGTTTGCTTATCGATGAACACCTTGGCCGACAGCACATTGCCAAAAGGCAAAAATGTCGAAGCGAGATCCGTATCAATGAACTCCTGAGGTAGATGATAAATGAACAGATTGCTGCCATCGGGACCTAAGTGGGAAAATATTTTATTAATTTGGTAACATTCTGGTAAGATTTCCGTGCTTGCACTCACCCTCGATCTGTTTGCCAGCCACACCTGCGGCGGCTGCTTGTAGGGCACTGGCATTCAGGGACTGTGGCGAAACGCCATAGGCAGCACCCGGCACAGATCCATTTGTCAGCCCACTCAGGGCGGGTGAGTAGGGATCGGAGGCACTTGTGGTCCCTGCAAAATATTTGTAAATATATATGGTCAAATAATTTCGATATTTTTAGCAAAATTTTTAATTTTTCGATGTTGATTTCCTAGAAAAAAAAATTCTATATGTACTTGCAACAGAGCACTCGCACAGGAAGAACACTCGTGCGCAAATGGAAACAGGAACACACACACACACACATAGAGAAAAATACACACATGTATATATACAATAAACGTGACCCGAGTTGAGTTAACGCATATGAGATTTTCCCGTTTCCCTTACTATTTATTATTACTTTTTGACTTTCCTTTTCCCATTTCCCACTTTGCTGTTTTTTTTTGTTTCCTTCCATCTTTTACCATTATTAAATTTGATATTTTTTCTTTTATGTCGCTTTTGTGTACATATCATGAAAAATTTGTTTGCCTTTGCTGTTTGGTCTCCCAGCATGGCGCCCCGTTTAATCGAGCCTGCCGTGCCCCTGCCACAAAACACCTCTGATGATTGCTTTGTGCAATAATCTGCCCATTCTCCTTTTTGTTTTTTTTTTATTTTTCTGCTTTCTACTAAAAATTGTATTACTTTCTTTAGTTTTTTCATAATGTTTTATTTAATTTCATGGGTATGGTTTTTATATTCTTGCAAATAACTGGAGTGCATTTTTCATGGGAAACATTTTGGGCTGGGGTGGGCCCAATTTAGATAAAAATAAATTTTCTTGTTTGCAGAATCCTGCAAAAAATCCTTCATAATCAGAATCCTTCATAAAAATTAACTGTAATCGGAGAGGTTGGAGTCAAAAAAATCGACTAAAATTTATTGGCAAACTTTTGGTATTTGATTTGGTTTCATGTGGGCAATTATCGTTTGTTCCAAAAGTTTTTTTTGCGTTCAAAGGAATTATTTTGGAGGGCGTGGATCCCTTTTATGAAGCGAATATCCGATAGCACGAATATGTTTCTAGGCTCTTCATTTAGAGTTTTAAATAATATTTATTTATTGAGTTGTTGTTAAGCTGACAAAATGATTTCCAGATCCCTTGAATGAATTGGTTTAAGTTAAGTTATATTTCTTCCTTTCCTTTAAGCCTTGACTTTAATATGTTTATGTGTGATTTTCTACTCTCACTTTTTCGCAATTTTAATATTTAGAAAAATGATTTTTTCTGCAAATTTAAAACTGTTGTCCATAGAATATCTGCCTGACTCTGCGACATGTCTCTTTCATATTGATCATTTTCTTATTTTGTCTTTTTACAAATGCAATCAACGATGGCATTCCATCTTTTATTCTTTTTTTTTCAGCACATTGATTTGAATTATTTTTCGTGTTTGGGTTTGGTTTTTTTTACATTGTTATGGCATCGATGTACAATTTTGTCTCCGGTTTTCATTTTTTACTCATTTGCTTTCTGTGTTGGTTTCAAAATATCATATTTTTTATTGACAGAGATTGGCAAAACGGATGAACACAAACAACAAACACACGGAGAGCACAAAACCCTGAATTAGAAACTTTTACACACAGATACACAGATTGTAAATAAATTCATATGTATGTGTGTACATCTTATTAGTGGTAGTGGATTTTGGGAGACCAATAAAGATAGGAATGTACATATAGACAATTTTAAATAACAATAGAGTTTTTGGTACTGACAGAGCCTGCGGAAATTGGTAAAGGCCTTTATATTAGTGAATATATATTTTTAATAAACACCAGACTGTATAACACTGGAGGGGGAAGAGGGTTGATTCTGTGGAAAGGGTTTCTGGTATCAAGCTGGGTGGAAAGGGAACAAATTGGAATAATCATTGGGAAGCAGCTTGGAATATGGTTACAAAACATGTTTTTAGACCAGCTGGAAGTTTTAGGAGATATTATATTAAACAAAGGGATTCAAGAAACAGGTTTTGTTACTATTCTTTTGCACTTTAAGAGATGATCTCTAAAGAACTGTCATTGTTATAAGAATATCCAAACTTAAGCTTGGATTTTATATCATTCAGGTAGAGATTTTATTTTATAAGAGATGATCTGATGACAAATTTAATTTTTATTAGAGGGAATTCTCATAAATTGTAGATTCGATTTTATTTCATTAGGGGTAAAACTAACCATCAATCTCATATTTTAAAATGTACAATAAATTGTGAATGTATGTTATTTTCTCTTGGCAGATGCTTTGTGTAGTGTTAGTATTTTCAGCAGGGCGCAGCGAGGCGTGGCTAAGCCTGGGGTGCTCATGCATGTGTGGGGGGCAAGGGTTCTCCTATTTTTTGTAAGTGAAAGTAAACCTCGAGTGGTTTGAACATTGTTTTAGAACATTGTAAGACAAAACAGTTAAAACACTTACACAGACAGATTGGATACAAGTGGACACTAAATACACACATGGATACATGGAGTATAAAGACACAATCGGAGTTGAGGATTTCGATCTACTTACAGAGCGCATTCAGCGACAGCGTTTGGCCGGCGCTCGACTGATGCGCCTGGGGCATCAGCTGGGACATGCTGTACGGATGCTGAAGCAGCTGTGCAGCAGAGGACCCTGCTCCGGGCTGGGCATAGATCAGTGAGTGCTGCTGTTGACGTTGGTTGATGATGCTGCTGCTGCTGCTGCTGCTGGTCGCAGGGTGATTGTGGATGTTGTGTATGCTGTGGTTGCTGTTGCTGCTGCTGTTATTGTTGTTGCTGTTGTTGTTGGGGGCGATGGTGAGCGGATGCTGATGATGGTGCTGCTGGTGGGGTGAGGGCGCGGAGGCTAGCAGTGTTACCAGATTCTGCATAGACAGGGATGGAGCGGCGAGCAGTCCAGCGCTAGGAGCATGCCCGGCGGTAGGGAGCCCGATGCTGCTGCCGCTGCCACCGCCGCCGCCGAGGGATGCTGCGGATGATGATGGGCCGCCGCTGCCAAGTGAGAGAGGTGCTGTGGATGCGGCTGCTGCTGCTGCAGCCGATAGATTTGCTGCTGCTGCTGCACCGACGGATGTTGTCCCGACCCCGGGTGGGCCGTGCTGGCTGTGGTGTGTGGCACTGTTATCCGGTGGATGGAAATTTAGTCCTGATTTTCCATATTTATTTATTGTTTGTGTTTTTTTTGTACAGTTTTTGAGTTTTTGGTTTTATGGTTTTAAGGTTTTGGTTGAGTTGGTTGAGTTGATTGATTGTTTTTTTTTTGTACATGACCACAGAGTCAATCATAGACATACCAAAAAATGTTCAACGAATATTTATATATAAAAAACATAGAAGAAAACACACACCCAATTGGATTATTTACATTTACAAAAATTATACAAAAAAAATTAATTTTGATATTTAATTTTTTGTGTTTTTGGTTTGCAATGCAATTATTTTGTTGTTTTTTGTTTTGTTTCGATTTTCATAGATAAAAAATTCATGTAAATATTTAAACATACAAATCAAAAGAAATAGTTCAACAAATAGTAATAACAAAAATAAATCACGGAACAGATAAGAAACGAAAAATAGGGGAGGGGAAAAACAAGAACAATATGAAAATGTAAAACATAAAATGATAAAATAAAATAAACATACAAAATTAATTCATTATAAAATACTAAAATAAATAGAGAACTAAAGAAACTGGAAATTATTTTTTAGATCATTTATGAAAATGTTTAATTTAGTTTTAATTTAAATTAAAATTCCAATTAATTGAAATTGAAAAAAGAATAAAAATTATTTTGTTTGCTAATTTTGGATTAAATTAAAAAATAGTTTCGATTAAATTATATAACTAAAAGGGTTACAAAATAGTTCAAATAATAAGAAAAGTGTGGGAATGAAATAAAAATTGATATAAATAAGGAGGGGATGCAAGGAGTTAAATAACAAATAATAATTTGAAAAATAAATATATAAGCCAGAGACAAAATCAGACAGTTAAATAAATACATTAATCTCAATTTCAATAGAATGCAGTTAGGCATAAGCTTTAACATATTTCAAATAAACTTAATCAATTGTATCAAATAAATGAGGTAAAAAAATCTTAGGAGGCGGGAAAAAAGAAACAGGAAACGAAGGGAAGTCTTCCGTTGCGGATTCATTTCCATGTTTCATAAATGGCGGAGCGGCGAATGAGTGAAAGCTTTTTCTACACAAAACAAGGAGCCTAGCAAACACATAAGAAAGAGACAGGTACATGTGTGTGTGTGTGTGTGTGGAGTAGAGAAAGATATGGACACAGAGACATTCACGTGGTGGAACGGGTGTGGAAACACGGGGGGATATTGTCTGGTATATTTAAAGAATATGCACACAAAATTGCTTTCATCGCTATGAATGAGCTTCCAGGAGGCTTTGGGTGGGTCTTCCTGTCTGTGTGTGTGTTTAGTTTGGACTCCCCTTAGATCCTTAGATCTTCCTTTCCCCCAACTTTTTTGTGGGCATAATAAAACTTAAAGTGTTCTCACCTGGGGACAACTAAAGGGTTACTTTTTTTCTTCTATTTTTCCACATTGGAATTGCATTTGTTTTACATACCAGCGCCTCTTGCGGCTTTCCCCAGGCTATTGGGGCAGTCTCGCCTTTGTTTTTTGTATACCCCAGCCGCATTTTCTATGGTTCCCTTCTGTGCTGCTTTGCCTTTGATGGCGTCTTGGCCCTGGGGCACTTCGCCAAGTCTTGTAAAAATGTTCAACTTGCAGAAGAAAAAAAATGCACAAAGACGTTCTTGCTTGGATTATTTCTTTGTGATTTCAGCTCTCACGTGTTTTGGGTAAACATTCTTCATGTGTGCGAAGAGTAAAATATTCCTTTTTCCTGCCAAATAATTAGCTACTACGTTGAAATGCCTTTTTCCAAAATTAAATAAAGTTTCTTCGTTATCTTTTGCCGAAATTGGTTAAATCAGCAAACGTTTTCAGGTCCGCCGCATCCACTTAACGGTTTCCATTCAGCACTTACGTAGAATATACAACAAAGAGGGAGAAAGAAACTTCGAGTGGAGGAGGAAGCAAACCTAGAGGACACGTTCCATACATTTGCTGGCCATCAGAGTTCCTTCTTTCTGGTGCTGCCAGCTCCTTCTGCCAGTCTCGGCTTCTGCCAGCTTCTGGTGCTCCTCTTTCTGCTCTGGATGAGGAGCTCTGACATTTAAAAACGTCATTTGTTATTCAAGTGGCATACGTCGTTGCTCTAAGTTCCTTCTAACTACCCCTGACTGTCCCTGACTGTCGCCGCTTACTGTCAGCTTACTGTTACTGCCGTGAGGTTGGCAGTTCCCTGCAGCTATAACCCAGCAATACCCTTTCGCTTTAGATGTGGGATTTTGCAATTGAGTAATCAAGTTTGCAGGTTGCACAAGAAGTTAATTATTAAGGAAGGTTGTAAAAGTTTTTCGGCTTTCAAAATTCTCTTTTAAGGACTTTATTTCCTTAGCCTCCAATGCTCTAATTCTCTAAGAAATTATTCTCAAAATTCTGTCACAGTTTTGTCGTTCGTAAGAGCATCCTAACTTTCCCCTATGTATGTATATATCCCTGCTCGTATTTTTTGTTTGTGCTTTGTGCGATTACATCACGCGCCGCTCAACATTTGGCTGTCTGTGATTCCCCCCTTTTACGAGTATTTCATTCTTTTTTTTGTTCTGTTGCTCTGTCTCTCTGTCCTCTTCCTTGCCGAGTTCTGCTGTTTGTTCAAGCTTTCTCTTGTGCTTGATTTGTTATGCGCAAAATGTTCACGTTCACGTCGAGACGGACCACTGGCCAGACGTAGAGTTCGGGGAGTGGCACGTCGGTCATTCTAATGAAGCGACGTTGCATATGCAACACGTTTACATTGACGCCCTGCACGTGTGTTCACGGGGGCTGTCTGTGGTTTCTGTGTGTGTGCGTCCAAAATCTGTTTGTCCGTCTGGGAGGCCATCATCATCGCTATACTGCAGTTGTTGTTGTCATCCCCTGTCATTGTCGTTGTCCACCTTTTAATCCTATTACAATGTTTTTGTTTTATTCATCATGGCTTCTCTGCAGGCTGGTGGGCCTTCTTTCTGGTCCTTGTGCTGCTCCTGCTTCTGGCCTAGCCTTTCCATCGTTTTCTCTCTTCATTTGTCTGTCTCTTCGTCTGAATTTATGCAAATTTCCTTGCTTAAATTGAAATTAATTATTTGACAGTTGTCACTGGGGTGCACAGAGCGGTAGCGGGGGGAGCACAGCTTTTGTCCAATTCTTCACTTTTGTTTTGCTTTATGCTCCTGTCTAAACCGAGTTTGCTGTTTATAAATGAAGCAACGATAGGCTTTGGCATTCAACAAAAAAAGAGGCAAAAAGTGAGTTTTATTTGTAAGTTTTACATTAATTCATGTTGACTTTTTTAAGCGTTCAACAAATGACTGCAGTGGAGCTTTCATTGAAACTAAGCGAAAAACATTTATCTTACGCACATGAAACGTTTTTTAATGCTTTTGTTTGTTACATTATGGAAATTTTTTTCAGATTATTTCCTTCTATTTCCAGAAATTTTAATGTAATTTTAAATTACAAAAATATTGAAAACTTGCAGACCAATAAAGTTGAAGAGAGTTTACTTCAAATTATTGTTAGAAAGTGAAGAAAATAAATTTCATAATTTTAATTATATTTTTTTAGTACATTTCCTACTTTCTATCTTTTTTTTTTACAGTATAACAAATAAAACATGTGAGTGGCTACCACCTGCTAATAAATCTTCCAATACTCTTCTTGTCCCCAATTAAACACACACTCACACTCGGAGGATTAAAATGTTACGATCAAGTGAATAAAAAACGGCCAAAATGAATGAGAACAACAGGAAAATTAAAATAAGTATACTACAAAAACAAGCAATTAAAATTACAATTAATGCGGATTCATTTGTTCTCTTTGTGTGCGGGTTGCAGAAAAAAAAGAAAAACACAAATTAAGTGCGCGATAAAAAGAAACAACATATATAAAAACTCACTAAAATACGATTAAAATTCTTTTGAGAGGAAAAATATCGAGAAAATGGGTGAAACAGAACAGAGACAGACATATATAATGAAACGATAGGGACAGAGACAGAATCAGATGATGCAACGCTGTGGATTTGTCTGTAACTTTGAGCTAAAACAGATCGATCAGATGTGGTTTTGGGCTTAGGTTTGGGTTCGGATTGGGGGCAGGTTTTAACCTAAAGGGATCTTAGCATTCTAAGTTTTTCTCCACTCACCTGGCAGATAATGTGCCGGACTCAGTCCGTAGCTGTGCAGCTGTTGGTACAGCTGGAGGTGCGCCGCTGCTGCTGGATCTCCGCCTAGGTAGGCCGCTGCGGCCGCCGCAGCTGCTGCTGCTCCTTGGTGCGGATTACCCCCCAACAGTGTAGGCGCCAACGAGGCATTCAACTGTGCGGATGTGGGCACCGAGACCAGTGCTGTCTGTGTGCCGCTGCCCGCCTGCTGCACAGGTGGTACGGCAGCCAGTGCTGCTGCCATTGAGGGATTGGGCCTAGCCGCCGTGGGTGGTGCCGCTATTAGGGCGGTGGCTGTGTTGGCGGTGGGCGTGTTGGCAGCCGCGGATGCTCCACTCGGCGTTTGGCTGGTCAGCGCATTGATGCCGCAAAAGGCGTGCAGCTGCTGCATTTTCTTTTGGTCCTTCTCCTTTTGCGTGTCGGCGAATTTGACGACCAGTGGTGCGGAGCAACCCTCCATGGTTTGACTTTGGTGAAGGGACTGAAAAGGGGGAAGGGAAAATGTATTTAAATTTGTAAATTTAGTGTCAAATTGTTTTCTCAATTTTTCATATTCTTTCCTCAGTGAAAACTATTTTTTTGTATTGTTAATGACTTTTGAGTTTATTTAGCAGAGCGTTCACAAGTAGCAAGCTTGCGAAACCTGCAAACCTGCGCTGTTAACAGCGCCTTCGCTCTGTTCACGCTGCTGCTACTCAATAATCCTTAAAAATTCGATTATATTTTCCATAATAATTACATTAATAATTTGGTTCTTTCACTGTTAAATAATTCGAACTTTATCCTTTCATTAATGTTAAACTATTTTATTCGTTCGGCACGAAATCCCAGTAATAAAACCCCTGCAACATCGAACTTATATTTTCACTAGTCCCTTCCTTGCACCCAAATTACACGACAACTCTTTCATCCTACCAAAAGAAGTCCTACCACCTCTAGAAAATTGTGTGTAATGTCAGCCTTCTTCAGAAGGGTTTGTTTCTTACTACGAAGACCTTTTTAAAAAGGTCGGAAATTTCCCTAATTACTTTGTAGCCAAGAACAGACGTAGCTGCAACTGAAGGGGCAGCGGCAGGGGCAGCAGTGGAGCAGCAACGACAGTGGCAAAACAATGCGCCGGCTATAAAAGTCGCGCCAGAGAGCCGCAAGAATTATAGTCAATGTAATTAAAGAGCACTGCTGGTGCCTGCCACGATACTGGCGGGCCGAGGCCAGGATGCAGGCCAGAGTTGCCACCGTTTGTCGCCACCACAATTGAGCGGAAGTTTTTGGGGCGCCCCGGGAGCCGCAGCCGCCATAGCCGTTGGATGAGTTTCAATGATAAAGTCTACATAAACCGGAAAATAAGTAAAGTGGCTAACCCAGGAAACATTGCTCCCAGTCCACCATTGTAACACAGTCTCAGTCCCCTCCCCGCAAGACCACCAGCCTCAGCCTCAGACCCCACCACAGCCTAAATGGCAGCCTTGACTAAATGTTTGGCCTGGTTTCGCGCGAGAGTTCAGAGTGGAATTTTGTTTGTTTTTGGGCTTAGCAGAAAGGTGTAAATTAAGTCGCCTAAGCGTACAAATGGGTCTGCGCTGTCAGCTGTCTGTTGTGGCGCGCTGAGGAGGGAGCCTGGGCCGGGGGACACGGCTTAAGTGCGCGTCATTATTCTGCTGCTGTAAGCCTCAACTCTGCCTCAGTGGCCATACAATTTATCAAACTCTGAGCAGTCCTGCAGTGACTGCTGCAACGATTTTGAGTGTCTGCTGCAAATGCCAAGGGGCAGGAGAGGAAGTTAGCAAAGGAGTGCCAGATAAAACCCCTAGAGGAAGTAAGGCATTTTCAATATATGAAAAATTAACAACGAATTGTAATTCAAGCAACAATAATTGCTTATTATATAACGGGCAAGTCTTTAAAAGTCACTGCCATCATTGAGAATATTTTAGAACATTTGCGCTTCGTGCCCATGAAATGATTAAAAATTACTTTAATTTTTCCCTAGCATTTCCTTCAATTTCTCGTCGAGCTTCTCCTCTCTTCACCCCTTTCGGCTACCATACAAAACGGCAACTGTAAACGACTTAAATGATCCGTTGGCTTCCAGAGCCCAGAGTTGAGCATTAAAAAAGCTGAAACGAACCGCATACCAAAACTGCGCTCCAACCACTTGACAAATTAGCGAGAGACGAAAGCGAAAAAAAAGGAAGAGGGAAATCTGCATGCGTTGAAAAATGCGACCATCATTTGCTTTCTCAACCCCTTAACCCCTCCTTCCCTCTTCTATCTCTATTCCTGTTTTATGTATAGAAAAACAGAGTTAATGGTGGAGCAGTGCAGCATAAATTGCTGGGGCTATAAACATGACACATTAATATTAAATGCATTTTTGCCAACAGCTCTCAACTTGAGCTGCAGAGCATCTTGGCGTGGTGTAGGAGTGTGGGCGGAGCAGAGCTTGGGTCTTGGCAATTTTATCGTCTTTGGATTGCATTTGATGGCCCTGCATACTTTCAGGCGTCAATAGACTGCAATGACTTTGCAAACCCACGCCGCTTGACTGGACAAGACGAAGCCAAATCATTTTGGCCAGGGCCAAGCAGCAGCTCTTCCGCTTCCCGTTACCAACTGCAACTACCAGCTCTCAGCTCCTCCTGTAGCTCCCATCTCCCGCTAAGTATCAGCTTTGCTTGGGTCCATCTTCAGGTCGTGGCGCCAACCCAAGCACAAGCTCATTGCTGGCTCGTGCGTGACTAGCATGCCGTAATTTGACTTCAAATGCATTAAAATCGCTGAGACACACACATAGACACATGTGCCTGTACAGTGGTAGCTCGTGTGTAGGAACATAGCTTTGAATAATTTGAGGGACGTTCTTGGATTTTTACAGGAATAATAGTCCCAGAAAAACTCCCGCAAAGAGCCCCAGAAGGAGTCCCAAAAGAGTTCCAAAAAAGTCACAAAAGCGGACCCAGAATGAGTCCAAAAATACTCACAACGAGTTCTCAAAGAGAATTCCAGAAAGAGTCCTCAAATCCAGTCTCTGCAGAACCCTGAGCACAATCCTATCGCAACTCCAGTGTAAAAAAACACGTAAAGTACAGTAAAACCAAGCATACAATCCAGTACAGTATGTACTCACTTCTCTCTGTAATAGCTTCTGTCTCTCTGTGTCTCCCTGTGCATGTAAATGTGTGCCTGTATGGCTTTATAATGGCTGTGCCCCACCCAGCACCCACAATACAACATTCATCTTGCAAAAGGCGACAAATTATGTGCAATATACACAGAAACAGAGGCGCAGACAACATGCTTGGACTGCCCAGAACTTTAGCTCCCACTTCCCGCTCTATCTCTCTCTCCCTGCCGCTTACAATGTGTCTCCCTTTCCCTTTCGCTCTGCTTACATGAGTTTGTGTGTGTTTGGCTGTCGGAAGTTTGTAATTTTGCCTGTTTCCGGCGCAAAACTTGCATGTGTGTGTGTGTGTGTGTAGGGGTGTGTGTGAGTGTGTGTGGTCTATCCAGCATTCCCGTTGACTTCTTCCGCTGCCAGAGGCGGCGTCTTGCTTGCATTTCTCCTTCCTGTTTGCCATTGCATGCGGTTTTTGTTGCTGGCCTGCCTGCCATTGTGGAATGAAGCTGTGCAGCTGTGTGTGTGTGCCTCTATGGCTGCTTTAGCGTGTGTGTTGTAGAGTCGTGTTTTATATGCGCGACTCTTGCCGCCTCAGCAATTAATCATTGCGACAGTTTTTCCAACACAGCAGCAGCAGGGGCAGCAGAGGCAGACTGGAGCAGCAGCAATTGCAGGAGCAGCAGCAGAAATGATGAGATTGTTAAGCGCCTTTGATTTCCCTTAAAGGTAATTTGCTTGACAATTTTTGCTATGCCCAAGTATAGTCGTTGGAGTCTTGAAACTTGGGAGATGCTGGGACTATTAAAGGGACTATTTGGAGCTTTAAAGTCAAAAATAGTTACAAATATATCTTCTCAAAATTATCCCACTACAATTTGCTTATAAAACACTTCAAATTCTGTCATAAACCAGGGTATGTAAAAAATTCTTCCTTAAAGCTCTGTCTTTATCCTCTATATCATACCCTTTCCACTCACCTTGATAGCCCCAATGGCATTCTGTTTAGTTGCGAATGTAACGAAGGCACAGCCCTTGCTCTGTCCGGCCTGATCCCGCAGCACGGTGCACTCCTCAATGGTGCCATGGCCCGTGAATAGCTGCCTCACATCGGCCTCCGTGTACTTTTTGTTCAACATTCCCACGAAAAGTTTACGCTCTGTAAAATACATCAGAAAATGTTTTTTTAAATAAAAATGTAAGCTGAATGAATTCATACAAAAATGTTACAAATAAAATAAATGCTGCCAGTTGAAGTTAAGAAAAAATTAACGTAAATAACAATAGCGAAAAATTACGTGAGGCTGCGGGTCAAGAGGTCGCCAAACAACGAGTTGTTTTTAAAGCCAAAACTTAATGAGTTGCCGATGCAGAAGGCACCGACCGGATTGACTATTATTATGGCATGCGGTGTGTGGTACTTTAGCCAGCCCTCAGATCGTACATCGCGGCTGTATAAATGTTGCCTCAGATGAAGCTGGAACGGGGACTGGCTGATTGACTAACTGACTCAGTGAGTGACTGAATAACTGACGCGAGCTCGAAATGGTGGCCATAAAAATGGCATTAAAAGCGCTCACACACCAACAAACACCCACGCAGAGGTGAATGAATGTGGGTGCAGGGAGTACGTTTCTGTGCGTGTATTTGTAGCTTAACAGCTTTAAAGCTTATGGGAAAGCAAAAGGCAACACAGAGCGGAGTATTTGGCTGTTTTCAAGCTGAAAGATGCCTTTCAGAACAAAAAAAATGTGATTGGGTATATAATGGTAATTTAATAATAATTTATGGAGCTGCTCAACGCAAGTATTGATCTAATTAGTCTCTAGAATTCATCTCTGTAGTTTCATGGAAAAAATAAATTATGACCAGCATTTTTCTGTGATTTTTTGTAGATTTAAAAACAATAGGGAAGTAATAGAATTTCATATTTATATTTTCTTATGAATTTTAGTTATTAATTTAACAAATTTCGCTTCACACTCAATGATAATGGTATAATAAACCTTATAATATTAATATTTTACCGATCACTGAATACAGTGCCTTCGACTTTTTATTTTATTGCAAAAAACCCTTCCACGACTCAGCGCTATATAACTCTCTAGAAATCTCTTTCAAAAACCTTCTAGAAACTCTCCAGAAATATCTCTGCAAACTCCCTCCTCTCTAGCATCTACAATTCGTTTCTCCCTTCCTTCAATGTGCACCCTCGACACCCCCACAACAGGTAAAAATATGTTCAATACATAGATTTTTTTTGGCTCTTAAATACAATAATGAGCTGCTCCCCCCCAATGTGCGTGCTTTACTTTTGCATGTTTAACGATCGACCAGCAAGGTATTTAACCCAAATTGTTGAGCACACGATGTATGAGTGATATTTTCGAGGGTTTTAGGGGACAACTTTGTAAACAAGCAGCTGGGACTCGGAAGGGGCAAAAGGAACTTTAAGCTGCAACAATAAATTTTCTTTATCTTTGGCATATCGACGGGGGAGGTGTGGGTGGGGAGAGGGGAGTAGACTGCAACCAAACTAGTTACATTTGTAGAGGCAAAAGTTTTTGTGCATGGCAATTGTTATGCTTTATCTGTGGAACCAGTACGGAAGGAGAAGAGTGTAGAGTGGAAGATGGAGAGCGAAGAGCGTAGTGTGTGTGGGAGTTGGGCAAAACTTTTTCTGGTTCGGGGTTCGCACATGCAAAAGACTAAAAACGCAATCGCAACAAATCGAATCAATGCAACAAGAACGGGGGAACTGCAGCAAATAAGAAGAAAAACTTTCATTTCTGCAACACTTTCGAACACTCACCCTTAAAGTTTTTGCAGACACACATACGCATGAGGCAGGGGGGAGATGGACTTTGAAATTCTCTCAAAAACAAACTAAGCGTGCGTTCAAACCACTTTAGATACTCTAGCTCCAGAAGCTGAGATGGAGAGAGGTTCTGTGCGTTAAGTGAAGATGACACTGAGACAATGGAAGACACCCATAAAGCAGGTTCAGAAAGGGTGTTGTGGAAGGTCCAAGAAATGTGTGCAGTTTAAAGGGGCTTACATCACCTAATTTAATTTATGCACTTTTAGTGTCACTTTCAATCTGAAATTTAATTATTCAATTTAGTATTTAAAATTATCCAAATATAAAGATTTTTTTTTTCTCTCTCTCTTTATATTTACAATCTGTTTGTTTAAACAATAAGTAAATTGTATAATTAATATTAAATTAACAGAAATATAAGTTTTCCAATGAGCCCTGCTTTATATATAACATCTTTTAAATTTGTTGGATTTATCTATCGGGGAGATCGAGAATGTGGTTTCTTTTCAGTCTTCTTACTGATAAGCTATTGTCTAATAGACTTAAGGATAAATTATTTTCGTGGTTGTGGAGTCTGTCGATGTATTTCTTACTAGTTTTCTTTATTTCTTCTTTAATTGTTGGAATATTCAGATCTTTGTGGATATTTACATTAGATACGTAAAACGGAGCATTGACAATGTGTCGCAAAGTTTTTGATTGGTAACGCTGAAGTATCTCAATATTTGAGTTGCTAGCAGTCTCCCAGAGCTGTATAGCTTAGGTCCAAGCAGGCTTCAGTATGGATTTGTAGAGACGAATTTTGTTTTCCAAAAGTGGTTTCTGATTTTCAACCAGGACATTTTTAGTGTTTTAAGTCCAAGTTGTTGACATTTTGCTTTAATGTGGTTTTTCCATGTTGATCTGCGGTCGAGATGCAAGCCGAGATACTTCACACAGGTACTTTGTGGAATTGGTGAGCCGTTAAGAGAAACATTTCGGCAGTTACCTGGTCTTAATGAAAGCGTTATTTGGACGGATTTCAGGACGTTGATTCTAATTCTCCATCGAAGAAACCAGTCTTCAATTAGGCTTAGCTCACTCTGCAGGAGTTCATTTATAGATGTGCTTGTGGCTAAAACGGCTGTATAATTAGCATATGTTGCAACAGTGCAGTTGTTTGTTATGGCTGCACGTAAAATCATCTTTTAGCCAGATTTGATTTGATTAATAAATAGTACGGAGCAGGTAGCCATTTCTTTATCTTGTACAACAAACCTTTGTGCCAGACTCGATCTAACGCTTGTTGAACATCAACAAATGCAGCAGTGCAGTATTTGTTTCGTTTTCAAATGCCGAAACTATATCATTAATAACCCTGTGACCCGGGTCCGAATTGGTATTCAGGAATGATGGAAAGTTCGTCCAAAATTCGCAACATTTTCTTCAATAGTATTTTTTCAAACAATTTCAAGTATATTGTCAACAGACTAATGGGACGGTATGATGTCAATTCCGTTTCTATTTTGTTTGGATTTAGGATCATAACGATCTCTGCACATTTCCATTGACTTGGAAAGTGGTCTAGTCTAAGAATCGCGTTAAATATAAGAGTGAGAAACCCAATGCGTTTTGGTGGTAAAGTTTTTAGGGTGATACCGTCTATTTTATCAGGGCCTGGTGCTTTTCTATTGTTCAAGCATTTGATTTCTGTCACAACTTCTTCATATTTGATGCTTTTAATAGGCAAGCTCATTTGGCAGGGAGACTCAAGGAATTTTTCTACTTCAGTCTCTGTTATATAATTATTTATATCGTTTGGCTGAAACACAGAGTGCAGATGTTGTGAAAATGACAAAAAAGACCTACACCAAGTTCCGTTGCTTTTGCGAATATTTATGTTTCTTTAAGCTGGTTTCTTTAGGTATTTAGTCGCTCTCCATAGGTTGTATTCATTGTTGCTGGAATTAGGGTATAAGTTTCTCAGATACGCAGCTAGAGATTCATTGCGTAAGTTCGACAGCAGTTGTCTAAGCTCGGATGCAGTCTTGTTGTAGAATCTTTTGTCAGCAGGGTAGTGAGATTGAACCCAAAATAGTATCATTTTTTTTTTTTTATAATAATAATAATTTATAATACTTTTTTATTTAAATTCATAAAAATGTCAATCCATTTTTATCAACTTTCTGTCCTTTTTCTTTATCCAAACACCAATTAAATCTCTTAAATTTTATCCTCTTCAGCTGTTCCTTGAGTTTCTGCATTTTTCAAGGGCATTCCCACATTCGCCTATCCCCCAGTCCAACTTTCTATCTTTATCGCAAACCCTCCCAATGCATTGTCAGGAGGACGAGTGGGGCCAATGTGTCGTAAAGTATAAATATAGGAAATTGAGTCGCTGCAAGGGAAGTGATTGGAAATTGTTGCATTCGGCTGCAGTTGGCACAGGTAGGTAGGTGATCCGTGGAGACACACCAAGCCCCAAGCCCCAAGCCCAAGCCAGAGCCCAAGCACTCAGAACGCACTCAACCTGTTAGAGGGGAGTCCTCCCTCCGGAACCCACCCCAGCCTTTTCGTGCATGAGGACCAAAGTTTTTACCCGAGTTCCGAGGCATTCCTCTACACGGAGGCAGCGGACTGGCCTTTGTTTGAACTACAGACCAGGCGGCAGCCTCTCCCTCTATCTTATGTCTCTCCCTCCCTCTCTCACTGCGTCTGTCCGGCACATGTGCGAAATTTATTTGAGGTTAGTTCAGGTGTGACACGGGAAAGTAACATTTATATATTTATTGTATGGATTTTCCATTTTAAGTTGCAACTTTTCTGCCCCAACCAAGGAGATAGCAAAAGAATGCCAAAAGGAGCTGAAAACTTATTGCCGACACCTGAGTTCGAGAGCTCTCTTTCTGTCTCTCTGTGACTCTTTTACTCTCTCTCTCTCTCTCTCTCTCTCTTACTCTTTCTCTGCCCCACTTGAACAGCTTGTTAAGGACCTCTTTTGTATTTGGCATCGCTGATTGGAAAGTTTTATGCGCACGTGATTTTTCCACAGATGATAAAAGCGGTTGCCAGAAAGTCCAGAAAAAAAGGTAATGCCAAAGTATGCGTTCTTTTGTGCTGTGTGTGGTTACCCCAAAGTTGGTTGAAGTTCGAGAAAAGGAAAAGCCCCTCCCCTTGCCCATTCGTTCATTAACGGCTTATGGCTCATTTCCATGGCTCATTCCCCTGGTTGACTGACTGACTGACTAGCAGCAATCTCCGCATTAATTCGGCTTTAGGCAGTTTATCATTTTCACCTTTTCTCGGCGTCAGCCAAACTGCTGGAGAACTTTATTTGAGATGAAGTCGGTGGCTGCCTC